CTCTTCCGCTGCCCCTGACCTCACAGATGACTCGGCAGGCTGGGCTGGGGTCAGGGTTAGGGTTAGGGGGACCGGCTCTTTCACTGCCCTGCCCCGACCTCTCCAGGCTGGGCTGGGGTCAGGGTTAGGGTTGGGGGACTGGCTCTTCTGCTGCCCTGCCCCCAACCTCTTGCATGACTCGGCAGGCTGCGCTGGGGTCCCACGGCTCTTCTACTGCCCCCAGCTACCCTGGCCAAGCCCGGTGGCCTTGCCCTTCATGTCATTCCAGCCCCAGAGGAGTCTAACCTAGAGACACCTCCAAGTCCGGGGAAGAAAAAAAATCACTGCGTCTCATAATGACTGAGATCTTTGTGTTTTAATTTCAAGCTGTTTTTGAAAAGAGTGTTTGTCCTGCTTTGCTGCCGTGGTGTTTCCCCAAAGTCTCCATCTGATGAGGCGATAAAAAGGCCATGAGGAGGCCGGAAAGCAGCAGCGGTCTGGGATGGGAGGGAGGGAAGCTCCCCATCCACTGGTCAGTTCCTCAGAAGAAGAGCGTGGAAATGTCCCGGGATGGAAAGTGAGATTTAAGGAATTTCAGCCGCGGGGTGTTCACTGCACAAAAGTGGTGCTAATTCAGTAAACGGTGGTGCCGTGGGGTCCAGTCTGTGGAGAGCTGAGCTCCCTCCTGTGTTTAAATTCCCACCTCCTTTTGTGTTTCCTGTTACCTAAAGTCTTGCAATTCCCTAAATCTTTTTCAAGGTAACAACAACAAAAACCCCAAACCACAATATAAAATGCCTTAAAAAAAAAAAAAAAAAAAAAAAGAAGATTGGCCCTGTTGTCGCCTGCTCCGGGAAGGCCAGGGACGTCCTCCGGGACGGCAGGTTTGGGAGCGGTGGCTTTGGTTCCGGTTGCTTCCTTGTGGTCAGTTCCAAGCGCAGGCTTTGGCAAAACGCCTGGAACCCCTGGCATCTGGTGACAGTCTCCGCAGGCTTCCGAGGCTCTCCTGATAGGTGTTTTGGGGTTTCAGAATACTTTCCAGTTTTCTCACAAGGCAAAACAGAGGAGAGGGCTTTTTTTTTTTTTTTTTTTTTTTTTTGAGAGAAACAGTATGTTTCTCTCAAAACATACTGTCGGAGTAAGAGTATGCTTGGAAAACACACCTTTTGGGAGTCCATGGGGGAGAGGATACTTGGGGCAGGAACCGGTGGCTCTGGCCGGAGGAGGCGGAGGCGGATGACGACTGGGTTATTCTGAGAGGGGCCGGGCTTGACTCATTCTTAGGACTTCGATGGCGTCAGAATTGGCGGGATTCTGCCAGTGCCTTAGGACTAATGCAAAAAGCAGTGAAGGCCGGTGTGGCGGCTCGTGCCTGTAGTCCCACCTACTCGGGAAACTGAGGCAGGGGGAGCTCTTGAGCCCGAGAATTGGAGACCAGTCTGGGCAACATAGCGAGCTTCCATCTCTAAAAGAAAAAAAGGCGAGGACATCTCTGCCCCCGACCCCCGACACCAGCCAAGCTAAGCTGAATTGGAGTAGGAATGGCACAAAAACCTGGCCGCTGTCGTGGTGTCCTGCGTCCCTCTTATGGGCTGTTCGAGTGGAAGCGATAGTCGGGGAGCTGGAGTCAACTGAAGATGTTCCCGAGGTCGGTGTGAATTCGGCTGACCCGGCCCAGCGGCGGGGCGGGGACCAGGGTTCGAGGCCCCGCCCAGCCTCCCTCAGCCCGCACTCCCCGGTCTGTGCTCCTTAGAACCTTCCACCCATCCCTGCGGTGTCTGAGTAAAGAAAGTGGCAGACGGTCTTTTTTCTTCCAATATTGGAAATAACAAACTAGATACTTACTTTGAATCCACCCAGATTATGTCAAGCGCCCGAGGCCTGCCGAGCGCCGTAAGCTCAGCCTCCGCCGTGGCTCTGGTTTCCGTGGACGGCTTGCATCTGCCCCGACGCGGTGCCCGGAGCCACGGTGGGGACTCTGTGCGGGGATAATGCCTCGTCTGCGGTGGGGGAGGCGGCGAGAACCACGCTGTCCTCTGTGGACAGCAGCGTTCGTCTGCTGTGTCTCTAATGGACACGACGGCGCCGTGGACAAAGCCAGTGGCCCCCTTGGTGGCTCCAGCTTCCGGGCTGAAGCTCAGCTGGGACCCAGTGAGGGGCACTCGGGGCTCCAGCGTCTCCTCATAGTCACGTGCAGGGTCAAAAATGCTTCCTGTGGTTGATAGAGCAAGTGCCACGATAAAAATGGATTTTTTGTCTGATATCATGCTGTGAAGTGGTCAGTGTAATTTTTAGGTAACGTTAGGGGGTCCTCAAGGCCTTGCTCTGCCCCGTTTCCACTTAGTGGAAACAGTACCCCCTGCGCGGCAGGCGTGGGAGTCACGTGTTCCCCGGTGTCCTTAGGAGACTTTTTTTTCTTTTGTCTTAGGGGACTGTTAAGTTCAGGCAAATCATGCTAGGTGTGGAGACAGTCTGACATTCATCAGTAAAGAAAGTGGGAGTGAGCGATTGTGAATGTGTAATGCAAATGGAAAACCAGGTGTTACTGTGTTAAGTTACTCACTAGGGAGCAGCTGCGGCTCTTTCCAATCCTCTTTCTCTCCAAACCTGCTTTGCTGACAGCTGCAGAAAAGGAAGCCTGTGAGGAAAATGGAACCTGTCAGGGTGGGTTGGAGGCGTCTGTCCACTGTTCCTTTGCAAGGTGGAAGCAGTGAGCTTTCAGACCCACTGATTAAAAACACACATTCCTAAGTGTATGTGAGAGACACTGTTTATTTGTTAATTAAAAATCTTTTTTCTCCGTCTCTTAAATCATGGCTTTCAGGTAATAAGGATACTTTTAGCGAAAAGTTGTTTTTCTTTCAAACCACAGACCTTTTAAAAAGACTTTACTTTGGGCCGGGCGCAGTGGCTCACGCCTGTAATCCCAGCACTGTGGGAGGCCGAGGCGGGTGGATCACGAGGTTAAGAGATCGAGACCATCCTGGTCAACATGGTGAAACCCCGTCTCTACTAAAGCTACAAAAAATGAGCTGGGCATGGTGGCGCGTGCCTGTAATCCCAGCTACTCAGGAGGCTGAGGCAGGAGAATTGCCTGAACCCAGGAGGCGGAGGTTGCGGTGAGCCGAGATTGCGCCATTGCACTCCAGCCTGGGTAACAAGAGCGAAACTCCGTCTCAAAAAAAAAAAAAAAGACTTGACTTTGAGCGAATACCTTTCTATTTGACACTTTCCCTGTTTCTGACCTTAGGAAACCAGAAAGCGTTTGGCAGATGCGATGTTTTCAGTTGACCTTTGACACCTGTTGCACTCCCTTTCGCTTTGCGACTTCTCCATTTAACAATAAATTATCTGAAAAACAAAACTTCGGGAGATGCTTATTTTTAAGTAAAATTGTGTTTTGTTAAACAAAATGAGAAAAACAGCTCCTCATCTTGAGAAATTTTAAGACGTGATTATATTTAACAATATAAATCTACAAGTACAAGATTTTCCAAGGGCGGCTGAGCACGGGGACTCACACCTATAATCCCAGCGCTTCACAAGGCCAAGGCTGGAGGATTGCTGCAGGCCAGGAGTTTGAGATCAGCCTTGGCAATGTAGCATGACCTAATCTTTACAAAAATTACAAAGAGGAAAGGGGCCGGTTGTGGTGGCTCACATCTGTAATCCCAGCACTTTGGGAGGCCAAGGCAGGTGGATTACCTGAGGTCAAGGGTTCAAGACAAACCTGACCAATATGGTGAAACCCCGTCTCTACTAAAAATACCAAAATTAGGCAGCGCGGTGGCAGGTGCCTGTAATCCCAGCTACTTGGGAGGCTGAGGCAGGAGAATCGCTGGAACCTGGAAGGTGGAGGTTGCAGTGAGCCGAGATCGCACCACTGCACTCCAGCCTGGGCAATGGAGCCAGACTCCATCTCATAAATAAATAAATAAATAAAACAATAAAAATAAATAATTTCTGTGGCTTGCTTCAGGGGAGAAAAGGGTGAGGGAAGGCCAGAGAGCCCTTTGCCTCTGCTGTTTTCTCAATTTCCTGCAGCTTAAAACACACAGTATGCCAAGGTACCAGAGTTTGGGGTGGCATTTCCTGCATGCCGTCAGTCCCTTTGGGCAAAGCAGAGAGTCAACAAGAAACATTGAAAATGGAGGGAGGCCCCATATTTCATTCAAGCATCCAATTCATGGCAAGGCTCTGTGTGTATTTGTCTTTGAGTCATATGACTGGGAAGTAATTATGTCCCAGAGATGCTGCTCTGTCCAAGACGGAGGACATCTTGGATACTGGAGGCCGCCATCTTGGATGCTGATCTGCCATGTTGACCTGTGATTCACCCCAGTTCCGGGCTGCCTCTAAGATTTCTATGTTATCTGTGGTTCCTTGTCCAAGAACACATGCTCACCACAGATCCCACAGAGACAGGTTCACGTGGGGTTCTTGCCTTTCCCTGCAGGTGTCCCACACAATGCTTCCCTGTGGTGGACAAGGCCTGGGTCTGGGGGTGAGGGCACAGGGATCCACCATCTCCTCCCGCTGCTGCCCGGGACATCAGGGCTTCTGCCCATGAGTCTCTATTAGATGTTTCTTTCTGTTTTGTTTTGTTTTAGGGTCTCTGTCTCCCAGACTGAGGTGCAGCGGCACAGTCGTAGCTCCCTGCTGCCCAAGAACCTCTGGACACAGCGACCTGCCCACCTCAGCCTCCCCAGTATCTGGGACTACAGGCACACGCCACCACATCCGGCTAATTTTAAAATTTGTTTGTAGAGACAGGGTTTCCCTACGTTGCCCAGGCTGGTTTCCAACGCCTGTGCTCAAGCAATCTTCCTATCTCAGTCTCC